TTAGATACAAACGTTTAGATTTTCTTGTTAACCATATGTATATTATTAAGAGGGCCAAAAATGATTAACTTAAAGCAGCTTTTTTTACAAAAAAAAAATCCAAATGAAAAAAAAAATGAGAAAAAAACATCATATTTATAATCGATCTATGGTAGCCAAAACATGAATTCATAAAAATTTCTAAAATCACCCAAAACTTCTTTTTTCTCTTTTTATTTTTAGAGGAAATTGATAAATATTTGAGTCACTTTATAACCGAGGCGATTATGAAGGCAATTTCATAATAATCTGAATAGTTTGCGAGTAATTAAATAATTTCATAAAACCTATTGGCACTTATAACTAACTTATTGAATGACGTCTGTCCGTAATACGTACTACTCTGAATACTCATTTTATTGTGTTTTTATATGAATTAATGTCGGTGTGACATGCGAGTATGCGTTGTCGACTGTACGTCATGGCGATCGTGAGTATGAAGCGGGCGCGAGGGTGAAATCTGTTTTTTTTCTGGGTTGTAGCACACTCTTAACTATTATTATTGTGTCATAAAATAAAACAAGAAATCTATTATTGTAATTATAGAGGTAGATGTAACATTTCTTGAGACATCTCTTATCCTACGTCGTAAATAATCCATTATATATTCTGTTTATAGCTGAAACTGTAACAGGAATTTAGAAGTAGATACATTTGGTGATCGTTTATATTATTCGACATATGTTAGTTCAATGTTAGCCCAAGGTACATTATTTAATATGTCCAGGCTTTATTAAATATAATGGTAAATTATAAATTAATTGGTAAAGATCTGATACGTTACTATGAATAATGATATCTCAACAAATAATAACTCTTCAAACTCCACTAATTATTTTTAATATTATATATTACTCTCTCTCTCCCTCTCTAGCGTTTTTCAACCGCTAAGGTGAAGGAGAAACTGAAGGAGGCCTACTCCTTCAGTTTCTGCCACGTTTCTCGGTCTTGAGCAGTCTCCATCCATTTTGATCCCACAAGTCTTTTGATGTCGTCGTGCCAACGTATCTGCAGTCTTCCTCGTGGGCGTGGTCTCCACTCCACCACAGCATTGCACCACGAGCCGTGCTTACGGGCGACATGTCCAGCCCACTCCCATTTCAATTTCGCTACCCGTTTGGTAATATGGCTGACTTTTCTTTGTTCTCGTATCCATTAATTTCATTTTCGGTTTCTCAATGTAACTCCTACCAGTTTTTCTCAATGTTACCTGAAGTTTGTGGGGGATCTCCTTAGTAAGAACCCAGGTCTCAGCTCCGTACGTTAGCACCGGTAAAATGCATTGGTCATGGATACGAGGTTTTTGTTCGGCATTGATGTTCATTTTTAGCGCGAACTCGAGTCTGGGTTTGCTGCCCATGCTAGTCTTATGCGCCTATTAATTTCGTTAGCATGGTTGTCCTTTCCCCATAACGACCCTCCGGCCTAGATACACATACTTGTCCACAATCTCTATAATAGTGCCGTTCACCCTGATTTTAGAGGTATTATTTGTGATGTTGGACATAATCTTTGTTTAGTCGAGATTCATTTCCAAACCAATTTGATATGTTTGGTTAAGTTCCTGCATCATTGCCTGCAGGTCATTCGAGAACAGTGCAATTGTCATCAGCAAATCGCAGGTTACTTAGTATCTTGCCCTCAATATTATTATCGCGCTTTTTCCAATCTAAATGTTTGAAAATATCTTCCAGTACGAGAGTGAATAGTTTAGGAGAAAGTGTGTCTCCCTGTCTAACTCCTCTTCAAATCTTAACTTGTCTTGTTTCTGGTGGCGAGTTTACCTTTATGCTTGCTTATTTATTTGGTATCGCTTGCTTATTTGGTATATTTTCTGTATTAGGTCAGTATAGCGGTGATCAACGCGGGCATTCTGGAGGGACCGAATTACTCCACTTGTTTCGATGTTATCAAAGGCCTTCTTGTAGTCTAAAATGCGATGGTAGCGGTAGATGGTAGCAAAGTGGTAGCTGATATACTTTATAAATATATTACTATATAAATATAATTTATGTTATAATATAAATGTCAGAAAATTAATTATCATAACGACATATGTATTATACGACGACATACACTATACTAATATTATAAAGAGGAGAAATTGATTGAATGTTTGTTTGGAACGAATAGGTTTAGAAAATAATAGGTCGATTTACGCTGTGGACATAGTCAATATTTTATCCAGAAAAACAGCAAATAAAGGTATGAAAATGGAAGTGGAAATTTGTATAGGGAACTCAATCAGTTACCATAGTAACCACTGCTTACTATTCAATTTGTCATTGCATTCAATGATGTATTAAGTTTGTAACTATACCACGCCGGCGATGCAGCTGGCGGAAAACTAATATTGTATAATACTTTAATCATGAATGAATGAATACTTTTATTGTACACCGTAATTGAATAAAAGGATAATCGATACAATTTAGTGGTACAGTCGGCGGCTTTATCGCTAAAATGCAATTTCTTCCAGGCAACCGCAGGTTCATATTCGCAATCATATTCGATTTACGCAGGTAAATAGTTAAATAAAATCAATGAATAGAAAAATCAATGACTTATCATTAAAAAAAGTATATCTGAACTGTCATTTGTAATGATAAACGGTTTGCTTATCTCACAATTATTAGCTACGGTTTATCGTAGACGCTACGAGGCGGCGCCGTAGTCGGTGACGTCACCGCCCATTTGGGGCCACAATGCCGCGGCCGCACGCCGAAATGTCATAGTACACTTCAAGGCCAGTGTTCGAATTAATTATATTTAAGTGCGGAAATAATATGTTCAGTATTGAATGTGTTACTGAAGTGTCAATTTCACTAAATCACTTCTAGAGCAAGGTTTAACAAAATTTACCTTTTGGTCAAGTTTTTATTTTAGCGATAAGTTAATGTTTGTGCATAAGAAAATGCTTAAGCAAAATTTTTAGTGGTCATTGATAGAAACGTGAATATCTATATTTCATATAGATAAATTAATAAATTTTGTCTTTAAATCACACCAATATTGATACAAATATTTTTTTTAAGTATAAAGTTATATTAAAAAAGAAAAACAATTGTATTTGTTTATGAATAACTTCAGTTACATATTTAAATACCTTAAAACATAGATCAATTAACTAAATAGTTTTTATGTATATTTAAAACCATTTTTTTAAAGAGAATTTTTTCTAATTTTCTCCAAAATAAGCCAATTATATATTTCATTCAACTATATTTTTATATTCCATGCTCTTCAATAGAGAACAGATTTCATGATTCTCTTTATGTTTGAAAGTATAAATACTTCGTCGGGTAATGTTTAAACTTAATCAAAATAATATCAGCAGATATATCTTTATATCAAAATAACTTTTACAATACTATATGTTAACAATATCGTCATATTTTTTTTGTAAATATTCTGAAAAACTTTTATTTTTCATGAATAAAAAAATATCTGACTTATAACTCGAGTACACGGTCCTTCTTAACAAGTACAGCTTTAACAGTTGGTGGCTGCGCATAACAACAAAGAGAAACAAGAAGAAACGGGTCAGCCAATGAGACAGATAAGGACAGAATAAAAGTTGTATTGTGCGAAATGATCAAAAACAATTTTATAATTGATTACCGATAAACCTTCACAATTATCGTCAACATTCTCAATCGCCACAACGAATTATAAAGTGACTCGCAGGTTTAAAAAAAAATATTTCTTATTTTTTCTACAATTAAAGAGTGTATAATTTTACCAACTGAATTTTAGAAGTAACTTTAAATCGAGAACATTTTATATACTCATTTTCTAACCAGCTATTCTAGTCTGTTATTGAACAGCCTCAAACTCGCAGCAATATCATCATCATAGAGATTCAATTAAATAAAACCTTCATTAACTTTTGAAGTAGGTTTTATTGAATTGAATCTCTATGCTGTCAAAGTGCTGTACCCGACGACGAATTTGAGGTGGTTTTTTAATAACAAAGTACAGTTTAAATTGCAGTCACTGCAATCAATTTATATAAACCTCATTTTTATAAAACAAAATCTTTCCCATGAACTACTCCGTCCGTTGTTTGGAATGTTTGTATTTGGTGAAACCCGTTAGGAAACCCCTTCTATACTTTTTAGGTTTTTGCGTTCACACCAGCAGACAATCTGCTATATAATAATTTGCTATATACGCTATATTACAATATTTTAAATGCAAGATCATTTACCACATTGACCCGACCGGTAATTGTACCCAGGACCTCACAGATGACGTCCCCATTGGAGAAAATTTTCGATCGATGATTCATTTTCCCCATTCATCGAAAACAAGACTAAAATTTTTTACTCGAAAAGAATATAATTTGCCTGTGAATAATTCCGGAAATTTCTTGAAAAACCTACTGGTATTATATTTCCAGTATGCAGAAAACAAACTATCGAAGTGCGCTATTGTAGCTGTTTTGTAACGCAACAAGTGTAGACTCAACTAGCAATAACATATAAGGCAATGTGATCCGTTTATATTCATCTTTTTTAAATAAAACTCATGCTATGCAATTTTTATCGCTCTCAGTTATAAATAATAACTTTCACTGATAATTGGTATTAATTAAGATGACATAATTTACTAGCGAAGTTGTTTATTATTATAAAAAGTATCCGTTCTAGATACGCAGTTTTCTTATAATATTTTCAAATGACTCCATTTTGGTAAATGAACAAAATGGCGACTATGTATATGGATTCAATACCTCGCAGTAATTATGATACGATTACGTCTCACAAATCGCACGCAATATGACTATATAATATCACATGATTCTTATTTTATTTATTTAATTATTATTTATGTGCGTAAATAGTTTAAACTTAATAAAAAAAAACTATGATTCAAACTTCAAAGAGGGTGAGCAAAACGTTAATTAAGTAAAATCGTTTACAACAAAAACCAAAAATAAAAAAGAGAAAGCATATTACCTCCGTTCTCTTCCATCTTCGTGCACTTGTACTAACACACACCAAAAATCACAAGCACTACTTATAACTAATTAATGAACTAACTTACGAACTAATATCACACGAAAATTATAGGAAAACTTAAAAAAGAAATGTCTTTTCCAGTAAAAGTGATCTTTGAACTTTTGTCAATTTATTTTATTATTATTAAAGTCTGTGGCAAGTTTTTATCCCATTTGTGTGTCTTTATGTTTATTGTTCTAATTATTATTTTAATTTGACTCGTGTACGAAATCTTGGCTGCATTTGTACCACGCGTCTTGAATGAATCGTGTCTATACGGTGACTGACTGGGGTGCGCACGGTGGTCGGTCTATTGTCATATACATCCAGTACATGAATTCGATTTAAACTGTGCTCTGGTGCTCTGTCATACACCACAATGTTTAGACGTCTGTAAAAAAAAAAACACGTGTTAACAACCGATCAAACAACAAACCAAATCACATGGACAATACTATATCGGGAATGTCTCGAATCATCTTATACGTTAGATGCTAATTGGTTTGAAATCCATGGAAGTTTTTCATTACATAATTAAACACAAAATGTGATATGTAATTGGTGTTTCATAATGTATTTATATTTATTCTGAGATACCTGTTAATTCACCTTTGAAAATAAAATAAAAAATACAATTACATTTTATGGATTACCCGCTGAAATTCTAAAAATAATTTTAAACTTGCACTCATTCGGTCCACATTGAGTGAGTGTAATGCAAGTGCGCCTTGAAGACATTTAAGATCAAAAAGCTTTTAAGGATGCAGAAATAGTACTCTCGATTCTAACTACATATACCTTGGAAGAATTTATTGGTTTTTATGTTATCTGTGCTAAATTTTAACTAGTCTACGTACATTAAAAAGACATGGGTTCTAATGACAGTTTAAGTTAACAATTTTCCTTTTTATTATAAAAATATTTGATTCCTTTTCATTTTAAAATTTGACGCACTTTAGATTGATATACCATTTCGATTTTTTTTAATGTTACGGTATCGACTAAACTATGTAAAATAGAATATTTTTATATGTATTCACGTAATTATAAGTTCCGTAAATGTTAATTATTAGTAAATATCTTTAAAAAAATACCTTTCCTTAGTCACTGCGCCGCGCAGAGTGAACAGAAATTGTTCTTTTCATTAACGATAGGTGTAAAGATAAGATAGAATAATCTGTTTTTGAGCTTCAATAGCGTTATGATCCTCAAACTATTCGGGTAGGTTATTATCGAGACCTGTGTAAAATATTTATACATTATCTTATCTGTGCAGGGACCAGATATGGGCACCTGAACTTCATATTGTACTCGTACTATAGTTTCATATTTTAAATGTCCGTCTTATGATTATAAATAGACTAAATACACACCATGCCCACTTTTAGGCATAGAAATCGATGTTAACATTGATTGGAAATCACATGTGGAGAAACGTATACGCAGGATATTTAAATTTATATATGCGTTTTATGAATTTCAAAGTACAGACTTAACAATCATTAAGTTAATAGTAATTAAGAGGGGAAAAAATGATATAACTCTAATGACTGAAGATTCAAGAACGATGTAAACTTCACAAATCAGTTTAGATTCATGCTGAGTCAAAGTTTCTGTAGCGCATAACCTGGCCTAAAAATTTCGTACGTCTCGCTGCAGGATCTTCTTAAGAATCTCATCCTTTTAGCAGTTTTGCAAGTTTGACCTTTTTTCAAGGTATTCTTACAATTTATGTACTTTTTGGCCAAAGTATCTGCTGTGACGTGAACTTAACTTTTTCTAACGTCGAGGAAATGCTTCTGACTCTGTTCCTGGCCGGCAAAACCCGGTAAGCAACAGGAAGAGTAGGACTAGTCTCCGTGAACCCACCCAGCCACAGCCGAGTGACTAGGCCACTCAAGTATTGGACCATTGGTCCCATCGCAGATGGAGAGACACGGGTCCATTGAGAGCCTCTCCTAGACAGGTGAGGACCTGCAATGCAGAGGTGGCTGCCAACCACCTCCGCTAGTCTCAAAGACGTAAACCTAATCTGATAAGAGTTTACTATCGAAAACCTTATAATACGTGCGTTTACTGTAAAATACACGATGCTTCATTGCAGCAACACCACGCTCTTTTCGCTTGATCTCCTACTCGCATGATCGTATACTACATATCTATTATAAGCTTCAGCTTACCTATATGTGGTCAATCATATCTAATAGGGTTCACCCTATTTAATATGACTGATCATCACATCACCAGCCCTTTTACGTCCCCACTGCAGGGGCTCAGGCCTTCCTTATGGATGGTTAAGGAGGATGGGCCATGACCCTCCACGCTGGCCCAATGCGGATTGGAGGGTATTAACGACTGCAAATGCAGCCGGCACGGAGTAGCTCGAGATAATAATTTTTTGGTCACCCATCCCGTGACCGACCCTTGCGAAAGTTGCTTAATGACTACTTAATATATAATTGAAATCAACTTACATTGTAGTATCCAAAATATTGAAAACTTATTTTTTTATTTATATTCATAAAAATTATAATTTTACAGATAATATCAATACGTAGCTCGGTAGTCGGTATCTATTTATATTTACTATCACCTTGCATCCACTTCCACCTTATTCTTTATTTATTTATATTTCTTTATTATGTGGGTTGTCTGAAAGAGATTGCTGTCTAGCAATAAGGCCGCCTTTTGTATACTTCTTTCTTATTTTGCTTTTTTTTGTATTGTGTCCTTTGTAGTGTGCAATAAAGAATAAATTATTAGTATATACACTCACTTAGACTAATTTTACACAATATACATAGACACAACAAAATGATCAAAAATTAAACATTACCCTAAACTTTAGTAAATATGCACATTTGTTGTGCTTGAGTTTCAGCAACAGTAAGTGTGTATTTAACATGTAGATTGTGTAGTGTGAGTGAGTCTCGAATAAAGTGGCTATTTATATCGATATGTTTAGTTCATGCGTAGTATGTGTTATTGTGTGCCATTTTGATTGAGCTTTGATTGTCAGTACGTATGATTATGGCATGTGATCCGATGGTGAATGCTTCGCCACAGATACACATGAACTGTACTTCTCTAATGAGTGTGTTGATGTATGTAGTCCTTTGTAAGCATCTGCCAAAGCCATGTTCTTGGCTTCTGTGATAAAAATGTGCTGCTTGCGAGCTTTTCATGATATAGGGGTCCTTATTAGGAATAAAAACGCTGTTTGAACGTCGGTCCACAAGATTGTTTCTATAGTCAACAACTACATAACTAACGCATAGGATGAAATATGCCTGATGGTTTGAAATGGAGCTTAATACTCATGGTGCCTTTAAAGTACTGAAGAACTCGCTTAGCGGCCTTCCAGTGTAATTATTATTTATTAATATCATTAGTAACATAGTGGTTGGAAGTTGAGAAGACATTCAGTAGAAGTCAGATTAAAAAATATATATTTTAAATATACTGACATACACATTGCCAGGATGTTCATATTAAAAACCAAAAAGGTTTAACAATTTCTAACTTATGTATGTAATGTTTCATTGATTTTATTTTGTTTTTGTCTGATAATTGAATTAATTTAATTTTAATATACTTTTAGTTTTATATATTTTAGTTTAAAACTTTTTGCTATCGCACGTTGCAGTAAATTACACAAATATACTAGTACTAAGTGCTTTTTGTTTCTCACGTCTTCTACAACATGAATATATAAATTCCATTATACAAAGAGTTGTGGATCCTGTCGATGTTACAATGATTAGGAAGGAAAATGACACTTATAGAACAATTTTAATATGCAATAATTCATTCGTGATGGTTATAATATCTTATTTAAAAAAATACCGGGCGTTTGATCTGTTGACGTAAACACTCTCAAATCCCCTAGGGAGGATTATGCACCATCAGTGGAGATACTAAACATCTTTTTAAGAAGGTAGAAGTCATTGAAACAATGTTACATTAAAATTAATGAAAAACAACTCCTTCATATTTATTTATTTATCTTGGACAACCGACGGTTATATAAACATAATAAATTATAAACGTAAACAATAAGCCAATTACAGATTTACACATTTAGTTAAATCTCACATCTGCATATAGCTACAGCTTTCATCTAACATTACAAAACATGTAAGTGTACCAGCGCTGTTTATCAACTGGAGGGTAAGTATTGTATCAGTTTCCGCTTGAAGGAAAGCAAATGAAGATATCAACAAGGCTTGTGTCTTCCAAGTAAATATATAGGTTTCTGTTATATGTTCGGAAAATATGAACCATTTTAACTGATAAATATTTAAGAAAATCAATTTTATTTCATTAATTTGGAAAAAAATACTACTTTGAAAAACATGGGTAAAAGTAGGGAAAGTATATTACAAAAATTTGCTAATGTACATTTTTTTAATGTACATTTGGCATTAAATGAGTTGCATAGATTGCCCAGATGCCCGCCCATACGCTTTTCCTCTGCGATTTTCGCTGTCGTATTTATAGGGAATTATCTTACGTAATTGTAGGGAACGTTTTCGACCAACAAATGGACTATTTATTTATGAAATAAAAAGATGGTCAACTAGTCTATTGAAGATATCAACACCATACAAAATAAAAAAAAAACTGCCTATGATGATCTGTGATGTTTTCGGAACTGAAAACCTTGTAATATTTTAAATTCTGGACAATCATCTAAGCTATTTAAGATTTTAAGTATATATACTATGTCAGATACTTTTCAAAGGACAAACATTGTGTACATCTTATACGCACGTGTGTTGTATCACGAAGGTCGTGGGTTGTGTCAACAACGGTACCTCCTCCCCGCCTTGTGTACTCACCATTACTGGGCCCTCTACCTTCGATGGTCACTCCCTTGTTGACCTTTATCCTCCTAGGTGAACCTCCGTGGTCGAACCTGCGGCGTATTTCAAGATTCAGCGCCACGAACGCTTTAGATTTGTTGCTATATAATTTACTGAAAACGAATAATTCACTATTAATATACTAAAAGTATTTTTATTTAAACCGAGAATGATGGAGTGAAATAAAAATAAAGGCTCAGAGCAGAATGATTTAGGTGGACTTTATTATTTCGAATCCCGGTTGGGTTAATATGTAGTGAATTAAGAAAATAGTCAGTTTCTCATTTTAATGTATTTTACGTTTTCTGTTACAGATTACCGTCAATCCTATACACATGGTTATACACAATATTCACATATAACGTGAATCAAAAACTATGGATAACTTTTGCGCTGACGAAGGATTATGAAATAAAGTATTTGTTAAAATAATACTTACTAAACATTTAAATAAAAGAAAGAAAACATGTTTTATATATTAGATTAATATAGAATTAGAAATGGGGTAAAAAATTATAAAAAAGCAACAC